ACAGGTGTGTGCAGCTGGCCTTTACCTTTACTTGTTCTAAAGAGCTCAGTGAGTTTGGGAGCGGTGCTGTAACAGGATGCTGCGACACTGCGTCCCGCCTCGATGTTCCACCATCGACTCGCAGCGGCGTGTTGCAAAGTGTTCAAAAACCACAGTGAGTCAACCAGACCTTCGACCAGCTTCCATCTGTCATACAGAGCTGCACCTCCTTAAATGCTCGTACCGAGGTTTGGAGGCGTGTCAGTGATGGCAGATAAAAGTCCCATTTTTGAGACCACCAAAGTCCCAGGTAGGAGGATGAAGGTGTGACAGGACAGCAGTCACATGTTGGCGGACACTTGGGCAAACGAGCATTCTCCATCCAGTTGGCGAGAGGTTGCAGAGCGCTGCTATTAGGCCTGTGATTGTTCACTGAACGCTTGTTCAAGTCTTTTCTGCTGCTGCTTGGCGACTCGTTGCTCGTAGTTTGCAGACTAGTCAGCGTCTTCCATGCAAACCATGAGCAACCTGCTAGCAACCGAGGCAATCACGTCAGCGCTGTGCACGACTGTGCTCAGCCTGCTGGCAGAGAGTCAGGTGTAGGATAACAACTCCCACCCAGTTTCTGTTGGTGGGACAAAGCTGAGCCTGATGGAGTTTAATGTGAGTCTGACACTCATCCTCTTTGCTTCCTTCCTCATAACAATACGTGAGTGTCATTCATGGAGCATCAGCCACATGCGCGTGAGGTTAGCTGCTCACGACGCTGCTGTCAGAGGCGTTCCTGTAAGAACCTGCAGTTACGAAACTCTAATATCAGCTGGAAAGTGGAAAAATGTTGTCATCTAACGGCGCACGGAAAGTCCTCCCGCCGGGACGTCTGGAATTTAAACGCTAATGGACTTTAATTACTTCTCCATCTCAGCGTCTCTCTGCCAGGCTCGGTTCAGGTGTGGTTCAGGTTTGCAGTCTGAAGCGAAGGATCAGCTCGCCGTCGCAGAGATGTTGCCATGTTTGGTGGCATTTCAGAGAAATGCAGAGAAGGAAACAGACTCAGTGATTCCCTCTGAAACCACAAACTGGC